CTCTGAACCCTAAACCCTAAACTCCCGGTAGGAGACGCCCTGCGGTGCGACTTGGTCAGCTGGGCGGGTGGGAAAAAACTCCCGGTAGGAACTGGGAGCTTCTATATGTTTGGCCCAAGCCTTACTCGAACCGACTGCCAAGTGCCTATGCCCATGGAGCTGATAATATGGCTGCTTTAGACTATGGAGTACGTATAGTCTCCATTGTAGTTCCTTTTTTTGGTTTAACCAATTTTGTATGAAGGATCCTAAAAGGTAACCCCAAAAAGGAACTACAATGGAGACTATAGGTAGGGATCCTGTGAGGGGGCCAAGAAACGGTAGGACACTCTTTGAGTACGGGCCCGAAGAGGGGATCCAAATCTACAAGACTTCATCTCGCACCCTCGCACCTACTCCCTTCCCCCCAGCCCCTCCTCGAACGAACGCAAAACCTCGCGTGTGGGCATAGATCTCAGCCATGTGAGAGCGAGGCAACTCAAAACCCTAAATCACCGAGCCTAACTGGCTTCATGAGACTTGGCTGAGGGTTTAGGGTAGTTTCTGTCAGTGCATATAAAAAAACTAACCCCTCCTCCCCAAATTTGCAAGCCTTGAAGCTAAAGCTTTCCGGGAGGGAAGCTCGATCGCGCTGCGCTGGAGAAGCAGGCCCGGGGATATCCTAGTTTGAATTTCCAGGGTTTCTAGGTAGGGGTTACAGTCAGATACACTGACAGGCATTTATGGGTTTGTACAGTATCTAGAATTTCCACGGGTACTTTGGGGCTTTATTTGTACTTCTGGGGGTGAAAAGGGATTCTTCAGGATTTTGTCCGTCTTAGGTACGAATTTTCATTCATTCATTCGGTGCCAAAACCTTACGGTAAGGGTACTGAAGAGGTTGAAATGCAAAATAGGGTTTGGGGTTCAGGGTTTAGGATTCAGGTTTCAGGGTTGGTGGTTTCGGGGTCTCGGCTTTAGGCTAAACCACATGGGAGACACTCCAAATAGCACAAATCAGCGCCATGCAAAAAACAAGCTGGACATGCCTCAACACCCATACTCAATTCAACACAAACAGAAAGAGATAACAAACCCTGCAAACCGCTCACTGTCCGCAGCCCGACATCCCCCAAGAGCTCAGGTTTCGACGGCCTTTTTAGTCCTGGCTGTTTCGACCCCTTGGCTCCGACCTCTACAAGCCCATACAAGCCCTATAAGCCTGAGACTAGACTCCAGGGTGTAGGGATCAGGGTTTACCAGGGTAGCTACAGGCCCAAAGCTCTACATGCAGACTCAGACTTCCAAGCCAGTAGCTTATGATCGACAACTATCGGGCATATCCTGTCAAGCAAAACAGGCAGCAACGACACTACAGGCACCCCTTCAAGGTCTATGTAAGCAGAGAGAGAAGTCCTCGTGACTGCCAGGCTGAACACTACAACGGCCGCTTGATCTTGGCCGTGGGCTCAACTCAAATAGGGTACTGGGTAACTTGCACCATGATTCCATCGTGGAATTTTCTTACTGGCCGTGTGGGCTTACATTTACGGCTTGGGAGTTGCAAGGCCAAGGTGGGGATTACCGTTTAGTACCGAGGGTTCCCTTAAGGGTACGGTATGCTTCAACAGAACCTTGAACAAACCCTTTAAAGGAACCTCAATAATAGCTCACTATAGGTCAAGTAGGCTCCTGAAGACCGCAACCTGCAACATAGCTACAGCTGTTCTCGTGTTTTGAGAGCTTAGAAGGCTACAGTACTCGTCCAGAGGTGCAGGACCTGGAGGGCGGAGGTTTTGGGTTGAGGGTTGGGAGTAGAGAGTAGCTGGTTGGGCTTGGGGGTTCAGGGTGTGGCCCTTGATTACTCAGAAGGACTTTAGAAGGTTTAGGGGTGAAGGCTTAGGGCGTAAGCGCTAGGTATATATTTCTGGTGTCTGCAGCATTATTAACCCAGTAGAGATTGATTGACCATCTCAAATGGTCCAGATATATAAGCCGCAATCCCTGAAATCTGTGCTTTCTGTGACTTGCGATGTGAGAGCCAAGACATTCTAAGATTCTAAACCATAACAAATAAGCCCTGATATTGGGGGGCTCTTGTCGTGGTCACTTGCCTTTCAAGGTGCTGACTGGGCTACTTTGTCCTCAGCAAGATCAGAGGAGGGGCGGAGCGAGGGGCTTTCAGAAGATCGTGCCAGGGCATTTTGTCGGGGCTTTCTGTGATATGTACGATCGAGTCCTGGATCTGGCACTCATGTCCGCTCCCCAATATTACCCTACACGTGCAGATACAACATAATACTATCCCAATCCCGGGTACTTAAAAAATAAAGGAGTCCTTTGGACCCAAAAGGAAAAAGCCTGCAAACTAGAACTGCGCCCCAGAACCTTGGGGCAGCAGTCCAAGCAACTGAGCGTTTAGGGCGCCCCAAGTGGTCCCGAGGAGGGTCTCTGCTCTCGGCACTACTCGGTTCTAGTCCGCCTTACCGTTTTAAATAGGGTTTTAGGGCTCAGGAATTAAGGTTTTGGGGTTGGGGGGATTAGGGTTCGGGCTGATGGCCTTGAGCATTTACCTGGAGACTTGTTTCCGCGGGGTAGAGTCGGGTAGAGACTGAAAAAGGATAGACCGTGTAGGCAGGGCCCTGTTTTTATCATAGCTCCTGCGCTCACAGGAGGGTACCAACCGTATTTGCAGGGACGCGGGTGCCTGTGGTAGGGGTTCACATTAGCCCGACTACCTGGAAAGTCTTCCCACCACGCGCACTCGACCTAGGTTGTCAGGCGATGTGTATTTTACTTTGTTGCTTCAGGATCGAAGGTTTCGAACTCTCGAGAAATCTGCACCCTTGCCCTTCACCAGGTCTGATAACCCCAAGCCCTGAGCCCTAAACCTTGAACTCTAAGCCCCAAACCCCACACCACTCTTCCGAGGCCTAGGGCCCTAAACTCCTAGACTTCCGTAATTGTGTAACCCTGAGCCCCGCAATTCTAAACACCATCCTTCTGGGAGTCCATAGAAAAAGAGCATGCGCAAATATCTTATGTGCACATATATATATATATATACATATGAATCTGAAACCATGTAAGATATGCATTCTACAATGTAACTATGTTTTCTATAGAAACAACATAAGTACATTGTAAAGGACAACATGAGACGTAATATTGCACTACAAGTATCGCCATCTACAGTCCCGCGCACCCAGGAGCCGCGCTGCCGAGATCCTGGAGTCTTTGTACCGACTGCAGGCTATCACATGCCTTCAGCATGTGCCATTCTTGTTTTGTTGTGAAAGTCTTTGATGGTTTGGTCCTTTTTTTCTTGTCCGTTGAGTTGTCAAAGTCTTGGTTGTTTGGCCCTTCTGTTTGTACTTTCGATGTTGTTTTCGGTCTTTTGGCCTTATAAATTTGGCAGTACTTCATTGGGTTTTGCACAGCATGTGATTTCATCTTGGAGCTTTGCACTTAATGCCTGTGCCAAAGCAGCCGGACGTCCGAAAACCTCGGGGTCGCCTAAACCCGGAGCCCTAAACTGAAGTCTTACACCGTGTATCGGCAGCCTGTGCCGAGCAACTTCCTGTAAGTTAAGGGAGCCATACAGCGCACACGGTTCTGCCCAGCTGATGCAAGAATGTTCGTATTTCGGCAAATTCGATGTGCTGCTCATCGCTATGCACTTACTTCATGATTGCCAGTACTCCGTACAGTTAGTGTTTTGCCAATCGTAGTAATGACTCTCGTTGCTGTCAATTACCCCAGTGTTTTTCAGTATCAGTGTTGACTTAGCTCTGCTGATGTATGGAGGGTTTTGCGGTGAACAATGTGGGTTACTGTGAAGGGCGTCTACTTTGTAATTCAGACATGTCTGTTGCCTCGACAATGACACTTTGCAGCGATTCCCTGCGCGATGCGTGGACTTCCCTGTCTTTGCACATGTTTCAAAACATGATGTCCTCACACTGGGGATTCACTTTGCCTGGGGCCTTTTACAGGCCTGGGGTGCCTTTCGCAGATTGATGCGTCGCACTGGGGTGGGCTGTCTTTTGCAGCTGCCGGGGGTGACTTAAGGCGCTCACCTTGTAGCAGCTTGTAGCATTAGTATGTTGATGGCTATTTCGTTTATCATGCTGATGACAATGATGATAACGATATTCATTGTCCTTCGGCTTGTAGGGCTGTCAGGAGAAGATGAGTTCGTCTGCCTCTACGCAGCCTGGCCTTTTTGAGTAGCCAAGGTCAGGTTGGCCTTGGTTATCTTAAGGTCGACAGGACATCGAGTTAGGGTTTTCTTCATACGGCAAGCGGTGTCAAGCGGGTAAAATAAGGATTCTGCACTGGGTTCCCTGAACTGATCGAAGGGTTCTTTGATAGGCTTGCTGTTGTTGTTTGGTGCCAGTGCTTCTTAGGTTTTGAAGTTTAGGGGTTTGAGGTTCAGGACTGGCTTGCCATGCTAGACAGCTAGCTACAACCGAGTGAGCATGTGTCTTTACATACATGCATGTAGCAATGTGGGTTTACTTATTTTTGTTTATTTGTTCATGTATTTTTGTTAGTTATGGAGTCCAAAGGGGTAGTTGAGCACCTACCGCCGCTCCCGTACGTACCTCTGTTCGAGGAGGTTGGGCTTGAGCGTCTCGGGAGCTTGCTGTGCTGAATGCCAGTAGGGCTTGCCACAAGTTATGTAGCATGCGCGACTCTAAGCATGGAGTGTTCTGGACTTAGGGGTTTTTACGGGTCGACACGTGCAACAGGCCCTTGTCCCTACACAAGTAATTAGTAAGGTTGTACTGTTTATGACGCAATACCAAACCGAAGCATATAAGGGCTGGATCACTTGCGAAACGGTTGTTGGCCTTGCCAGTGACGCACGTGGCTCACGGAGCTCCAGATTTAGTTCGTTGCTCGCATGTCAAGCGGCCAAGAGAATTATTACACGATGCTACCACATGTTGATGTTGTGCTTGCTTGCAGTGGTTTGGGGTCAAACCGCAAACGACATATTGGAGCCGGATTCCCCCATGACTTCGCAAGACAGCTGCCGCGAGCATGCCCGCCGCTATCACCGTCGTACGAATAACAAGGCAGCGGTGCAGCTTGGATTGGTTATGCCATCAATAAGCGTTTGCATAAATACATACATACATACATACATACATACATACATACAAACATACATGCATATACATGTGTACATATGCATATGCATATGCATATGCAGGCGCATGCGCATGCGCATACACACACATACCTACGCCGCCCCATAACTTAGGAGTGCGTTATAAGTGAGTGTAAACTGGTTGAACTCAATTTAATTCACCTGCAATTGATTCTAAGTGTGTTATAAGTTGTTATAAACTTCCATTTTCTTAAGTCATTATAAGTGAGTCACCTTTCATAAGAAAACTTAACGGAACTTAGGATGAGCTAGCGTTTTTCTGCAGAATCCTTACTTTTGGTGTTCAGATCATCGAAATCGCAGTGTTTTGGCTCAAAGCAGGGTCGGAGGCATGGCTGCCGTTTGCAAGCAGCTTGAAGCTGCACAGAGCTTCCTCAAGCAGGTGTCACAGCTTCCCAACTTTGGCGCCTTGCGTGACAAACAGCACGAGAGTTTGCTGTTGCTGCTGAAGAAAACGAAAGTGCTGAATTTGAAAGATGTTAGCAGCGTTTTCAAATGATGGACGACAGCACCTGGACCCCCGAGCAGATCCATGCAGTGCGAACCGCAGCCTCGGAGCGTCTGCGCACAGAGGAGGTGGACGAAGAACAACTGCGAAAGCAACAGCAAATGACTATGTGAACTCAGCTCCTCCGTTGAGCAAAATTAGAGATCTGCATGTTGCAGTTTCCCTAAAAGACTCTACTTTCCAGTGCGCTGTCACTTCGACTGTGAGCCTGCAAAACCCCAAGCCCAGGCTTTAGCTGAAACTACGGTGAACTAAGGTGGAAGCCTGGCCTCAAGCCTGGACCACCTCACGGCAAGGTGGTCCGATTGCTATGGCTGCCTGGATCCGGAGTGCTAAGGTGGTAAGGTGGCCCCTTGCTAAGCCTGGCAAGTTTAGGTGGCCATTAGGTGGAGGCCCTTCCTCAGGGATTTGGAGCCGTCTAAGTTGAGGTGGTAAGGTGGTGAGGCCGCCGTAGATCTTCGGGGGACCTCTGAGGCTTTAGGTGTTCTTAAGGTGGTCCCTATGCTGCAGACTTTTTCGATCGGACTTTCAGGCCTCGAACAGCAGAAATCCTCAGTCCGAAGACTAGAGCAACTCGGGCAGGAAGCTACCTAGCTCAAAACTGGGCTAGCAAAAGCCCTGAAGGAACGAAATGTGGCAGCCGCGCAGATGGGGCTGTAGTTGTCGCAGCACGCATGTGCTGCAGCAGCTGGAGAGTAGACTACAGCACCTGGACCAAGCAAGGCCAAGTGCTTTGTCAGCCTCACAGACTTGTCTTGGGCATTACGCCCAGCCTGGACTCTCGAAGACGGGATGAAGGTCATTTTGCTGCATTAGCAGACAGGACGGCGACAAAGATTGCCTTCGAAAGCAACAAAAACGTGCCGCGAGAAGAAGTGCTTCGGAAAAGCATGTTAAATTTATCATAAAGACAACTTAGAAGGACCTAAAGTACCTTACAACATAAGCTTTTCTAAGTAGTTATAAGTCCCTCCTAAGTGCCGGGGCGGCGTAGGTAGAGACGATACAATAATGCAGCTAAACAAGCACGCATGCATACATACATACATACATACATACATACATACATACATACTCACTTACATGCATACTTGCATGTAGTTGTGTATATATATAGAACACATATTCGTTTATTTGTATCGACATCTGTATATACAGTTACATATATATATATATATATACATATATATGTATACATATATGCAGAGTTTTATCTACATCTATCCTACCTTATAAGTATCCCTATATCTATATTTATGTCCGTGTCAACGTGTATATCTTTATCTGCATATCGCTATCTCTATCTCTATCTCTATCTCTATCTCTATCTCTATCCCTATATCTATCGCTATCTTTATGTCTATCGCTATCTCTATCTCTATCTCTATCTCTATCTTTATGTCTATCGCTATCTCTATCTCTGTCTCTATTCCTATCTCTATCTCTATCTCTATTTCTATCTCTATCTCTATCTCTATCTCTATCTCTATCTCTATCTCTATCTCTATCTCTATCTCTATCTCTATCTCTATCTCTATCTCTATCTCTCTCTATATCTCTTTCTCTATCT